CACTTATCATAAGATCTCTTTTTTGTATTCCTGTTTTATCACAACACTGTTTTGTGCTGATAATTATTTTCCTGTTCATTTCCTGTGTATATTGTCATTGATTCTATAGTTTCAGAAAGATTTCAGGTTTTGTTGAACACTAGATTCTACCCATAGTCACAAGTGCCTGTGTTTCAACTTCTTATGGCTAGACTTTTTTTTTTCCCGCTACACAATGTTGACTGCTATTGTTCTTTTCTCTTTCAAGTAGTGTACGACAGGCCGTCACAATTAAATAATGTATATGTTAGCTCTTGCCTTGGCTCTGGCCCAGTGCCACATAGCTTGTGAGGCCAATGTCCCATGGCTTGGTTCCACCTCGAAAGTGACCAGCATGAAACTATAATGTGCGGACATGTCTCTGGTGTGCCAGTGTGAAAAGAAAGTTTGCTATTTAGTTGGTGCTGATTAAACGGATAATTCAAAAAGGAAAACCCAGATGTTCTCTTATGGAGGGAGAAAAGATCTCTGATCCCTGCTGTTTGTTTTTTTTTAGGAGAATTTTTACTTTTTTCTGATGTGATCATCTCTTAGATTCACACAAACTGTTGGCTCCAAGGCTAAAGGCAATGTCTAGCCTGTAGAGAGGGAAAGCACCCCACACTATAGCTTTAGACAGATGTAGAGTAGCTTCACTTCTTGTAATTTGCAGAAGACACCAATTCTGTGTAGATCTTGTGTGACAATCAAAACCTATTCTCTACATTTGGAGTGCAAAATGAATGATCCACTGGCAAATTTTCAACTGAGAAAGCTTACATTGGTTTGACATCTTGTCACTGTAATTCAGATTTTTAGGTGTTCTGTTTTGTGCTTTTGTTTTTCTTAAAGATTTCTGAAATTGTTTTCCCCTTGCTTGCTTATTCAGTTCTATCTGCTCTGTGGTGTAGAGAAAGTGCCCTGCTGGATGGACTTTGGCTCCATTTTTTTTTTCTAGGCAGTAAATGGTAGTTCAAATGTATTTTGGAGCCAGTACTCCAGTAACAGGGTACAGCATCTGCCACATGGAGCAATTTGTTTAATACAGTATAGATTCCTCAGTTTTTAAACCAGCAGGGGTAACAAAGTCAGTGTTGCAAAAGGGAAGTTGGCACTGGACCAGATGCCCTGTTAGCCTGTTTTCTGTGTAAGAGCTCTCTAGAGTCAATGTGTTTGGAGGCTGGGTCTTAAGGTTATTGCAAAAACGTGCTTCAGTGGTGTTGTTGCACAAGTGGACAGCCCACCTCTCTTAAGTCACTCCAAACTCCTGCTCTGTAAGACATTACATGTCTGTTCAGACAGGTGTCTGGTAATTGCTTTAAGCACTGCAGTGCTGTTGTCATCCTAATTCTGGTCTATGCATGCCCACACCTACACACACACAGCTGCTGCTTAGGTTAATTTTTTTTTTTTTGTACTGCAGCACTGTGCTGTCAATACAGATCCCAGCACCTGGGGAAAGTCCTCTGGCTCCAGGACATGGCTAAAATCGCCAAGTATGGGACACTGCTCCCACACAAGGCCTGCTCTGATTGTATTGAATTTTACATACTGGGATGTAGTTTAGTACTCTGAACATGCAAAAGGCCGCAAAAAAATATCTGTAAATTTTAATCTTCTGCACTGCATTGCAGTGCTAAGAGCACTGACTTGTTGATTTCAGGTGTACAATGAAGCAGATCTTGTCACTTTGTACATAATTGTATAAACAGTTGCAATGTAGAAATCCACATTCCTGTAGAATCCCCTCTCCTAATGTAATCATGTTTGGCTTTTTATATGAAATGGCATTTTAGTAGTTTTTTTTTTCTTTTTAGTAGTATGTCATTTTATTTTCATTGTACATAATGCTATGTTGATTATTAAAGGAAGCTCCTGAAATCACTAAAGCTGGCTTTTTATTTTGTATTTTTTCAGTTACTGGGACATCTGTGTGGCTTTAAAATTGCCTCAAACTGTTTAATGAGTTAATTTATTCACAAGTGTTTCATTTGAATGCACATGGAAGAATGGTTTTAATACCTGCTTAAAACTTTTGGAATTTTTCTGCTGTGATTTCTGAAACAAAGAAGGGGCTCTTAAAGTAAAAGCTTCTGATACTTTTACAGCAGTGCATGGTCATTATTCATAACCGGGTTCTAGCTGTTTCACCAAAGACTCGATCTGGCCTTTAGTTTTCACCTCTGTGAAAGACTAAGGTGACTCTTACTGATGGAAAATATATTTTCTATGTGACTTTCATTTTACCATCGTAGTTCATATTTTTAAATCGAAACTAAAGTTGATCACATTTTTACAAGACTGCAAGAGCATAAAGTTGCAAACTCAAAAATGACTTAATATTAGAAATGTTGTGACTGGTGGTATTGTGTTCATGTTACAGGATGTCACACTGTATAATGTAACGCTGGTGTTTTATTCTCAGGAACTTTCATTCAAATGCAATGAAGTGTAGGTGAGCATATGTCAGCTTTACATTTTACCTCTGTTGTGAGGTTTACTTTAAAACAGAACATGTAAATGCCCTGTGTAGTTCTCTTAAATGGTTTTAATTTCAGCCGTTGTGCTTTTTTGTATTCTAAATAAGTGTTTATGCTTGTGCCCAATGTGATGAGATATAATTCCTGTCATAATAAGTACAAAAGAAATTAAAATTATTAAAATTATATTGGTGAGTTTTTAAAGTCGCCTGCTTGTTTAGTTTTTCTTCAAGCTACTCCTCCACAGATCCTCAGGCAGTAACAAAACTTTGCTTCTGTGGAGGACAGTTATGTAGATGTCCATCAGGTCAGGATCTTGACAATGTTGTGGGATGCATTAAGGAGCATTTTTAGTTACTGATTTGTTCTAATTTTGCCTAAATTTAAAATTGCATAAAATTTGAATTTTCTTAATCCAATTGAGATCTTTTTGGAGGCTTTGATATGTTTTTTAGCTGCTTTTGTACACTTATTGTTCAGGTAATTTTGATATCTTAAACACACGACCGTTAAAGGGAAATCAAAACAGTTCTGATGTATGAAAGAGTAAAGCTAAAAAAAAATATTGCACAGCTACAACCTGTCAGGTGCTGAGAGCCAGTGTACATATTCTTCATCTTATTACGTTTTAACATCTTGGCTTTGAAGTTTAAATGGTACCCTTCAAACATTTATGCTTAAACAGTTAAGATAACGAGTTTCTTATTAGCTTTTCTGTTAACATTTGTGAAGTGTAAATGCAATCTGCATTTTGTGTTTTGGGTATTTCAGTGTTTAAAAGTGTTTCATATGGACTGAAACTAAGATGGCATTTGTTTTGGAAGGAAAACTGTTGACCAGTTGTGGGGAAGGAAAATCGCCTGTTTTAGATCAGTGCTGTACATGTCTGCTGCTCTGATCAGGAAGCCGACCTGCCCTCAGGCTCCTGTGTTGTCAATGCCAGCAGTGCCTTTAGGTCCTGTGTGCCAGCCCACCCCAACCCTCACCCGGAGCCCCAGCTGCACAGATACGGGCAAACACAAGGATGGACGGGGATCGGTTTTCTTTTAGTGACTGGTGGTGCTTTCTCTCCCAGCCTGTGGACATCACGCTGGCAATGAGCGAGAGAGCCGCGGCACAGAAGAAGCTCGCTGAGAACCCCTTCGACGTCAACGCCATTTGCATGTTGAATCGGGCGCAGGAGCAGGTAAGCCCCTCGCCACTTCTTTTCCCCATTTCCTACCCAGGGGCGGAGTGCTGCACAGGGCTGCAGGTCCACAGTGGGATCATTGTATCAGCACGGTTGGTGGTGTTTGGGGAGACTGCGGACTTATTGGATTAATAACTGAGCAGATATACTTAGTATCATTTTACAGAGAAACATTTTGTGGGAATATAAAACAAGCTACCTATTCATTGGTTTAAAGTGAATAAAAATCGCTTCTAACTGGTATATGAATGACCAAAAAAGGCTTCTGCCTATTTTGCATGGCCTTCTGTACAGCTTATGCTTAATATTAATAAATATTAAGCTTTGCTTTGTTTAAAACAGAGAAAACACATCTTTACCCAATGTGGAGTGAGAGTATGGAGTAAAGGTAACCAGATGATACCCTGACTTCCTTCAAGGAACAGCTAGATCAGATCCTTGGATTATCTACTAACTGCTGTACAGGCCAGGTGGGCCTAAAGGCCACCTCATTTGTAACCATTCTTTTGTTCCTGTATTTGAACAACATAAATGAGAAAAAACACTTATTCAAATTGCAATAGGGGTTTTACAAATATTCTCCTTCAACTTAAATTCGGTGTTCTTGCATATGGGGTATTTCAGAAGATCAAAGGGTTACTCGATTGATATTGTAATGCACACAACATTCTCAGACATGTCACCACGCTGAGACTCCTTTGTCCACTTTCACATTTTCACAGTCGGCCAGTTAAAGTCCCTGACTTTCCCCCAAAATTTAGTTCATTAAAACGAATGTTTGCTTGTTGCCCATAGGTACTGTGGTTTTCACTTTAATTGGTCTGGTACTACCCTATGTTTTAGGATGTCTATGAATAAAATGGCGGCAGAGTCAAGGTTTAAACAATAAAGACCTTTTTATAATAACCTGTCTCCCTGGTGAACCTGTTAACCTCCACATAAGTGTTTAATTATTAATAGAGTTAGTTTTATGTTTTTCTTCCTTCAACACCATTGTGAGCAAATGAGTGTTCAGGTTTCAGGCCATCATGGCACCCAGTACTGACACCTCCCCTGAGCTTCTCCAGAGTGGCTGCTGCCCCCTCCCCTGCCACATGTGAATCCGTGGCTGACCCTTAGCCGGTTGCTTCCCCAGGTGGATGCGTGGGCCCAGTCCAACACCATGCCAGGCCGCTTTACTGGTTCCACCGGCGCGCAGGTGCTGTCCTCAGAGGAGCTGTCCAGCAGCGGACCGCAGGCCTGGGTCAAGAAGGTAAAGCTATACGTCACGGACCGAGAGACATGGCGATTGAGCCCCGCTCTGAGATTGTGAGGCAGTTTGTGTGGATGCAGTGCTCTCCCCAAACCTGACCCGTCTCCACGGCTTCCATTTGTGCCTAATGCACCTGAACATGGCCTGAGTAGTATTCAGTTCTCCATCACAAGAATGGGACTCCAAACAGGAGTTTAACTTGAACTATTACTGTTCTGAGACACAACTGATAGTTCTGTTGGGATACAGGGCGTTATTCTTCAAAGGCAACGGTTTTAATCTAGAAACCTTGTATGTATGAAATGCAGCCAGCTTTACTGGTCACATCCTTGACCTGTTGTTTTTTTTTTTTATATACAGTATTACAACTTTCCATACATTCTAAATGGGTTGTAGAAAACATTGATGGTCTTCATACAGTTTACAACTTGCATGCTAGCATGGACATTATAATTCTAAACTTAATCAACTAGGTGACATGTAGAAATCCTGTCACCTACATGCATAAACCATGAGCTTTTTGTGATTGGATTGATGGAAAATTGTCACAGTACTTAGTAACTCCTGACATTAGCTAATTTAAATGTTAATCCTTAATGTCCTGGAACACTTGGTAGAGTAAAAGCATGCTAACAAGCGATGCCTAATTTGACACTATTACACGTGTGTACCCTACCTCACACATACCCCTTTTCCCTTTTCCCTGGAGCCTTTCTGGAACTGGCGCCCCACCTTTGCTCTGTAGTGTGTTCAGTGTGTCCTCAGAGGCAGCCTTTGTGTGGTTGATGTCTGTCTCGTGTGTTCATTGATGTAATCAGTTCACAAATGTGGTCACACCACATAGCTACAGCATAAGAGCCTGGCTAGAAACTGGGATGAACACCACTCTGATGGGCTGTTGGGCTGAAGTAGGAACTGCTTGTCCCCTGTGGACAACTGTTTTCCCTCCTCTCTTTCATAACATGAGTTATTGTGTTTAATTTGGTGTGAAGAAAAGTGATAGTTTATTGAAAATTGCTGTACTTTATGAGCATGCAGCCGCTTCCGTATTTTTCATGCTCCAATTGTGGCCTTCAGTAATGACTTTTAAATTGCCATGCACCTGTAGTTCAAAGTAGTAACCATAAAATGCACACAATTTTGAAGGAGGACTGCACCATGCACCCTGGGACACCAGCTGTCATTGGGTACAAACACAAGCACAAAGGTGCCACTAAACCCAGGCAGCACGTCTGTGGAAAATGGGGGGTAATGGGAGCATCAAGTGAGGAAAAACATGCAAAATTATGACACAAGGCACTCCACTCCAGAACTGAACCCAGGAAGCAGCTGCACAAAGGGCCATGCCGCTGTACCATCTGTCTTTTATTCCCGATTGCCAAAACGTTATTAGAAAAAAGTTCACAACTCCTAATGATTCAGGAATGTTCATATTACCTGACTCCAGTACATGTGCTTCTAGTTTATACACATCTAAGATCTACCGTCCAGTTACATCAGTTCACTGCACCTCGTTAATTCTGTGCCACACAAGACTGTAACTGGGACTTAACATAGAGCAGAGCTAAGAATACTTCCTGGACATTTGTCTAATTTGTCAGCCTGTGGTTTATGACCTGAGACCTTTAGGAGCACTAAAACCCTGTTTGTTGGTGCATGGAAGCCAGCTCTCGGTCAGGCTCTCTTCAACGCTCTTTGTGAACTGGATACACCACTGGATACCATGAAACAGATGTTGATGTTGAAAATTTTATCAAAGCAGGTACAAAACAGGATGGGCACCCCGGGTCCCTGACACTGGGGTATTTATCAGTCTGCATGGTGCCCTCTTTGCTAAAAAGAGGCTTCTTGGAAAAGAAAGAGAAAGAAAAGAGGGGAAAGGAGAATTGGAAGTAAGTATGCCTGTCAATCCACCCTCTACCTGGTCAAATGGATGTGGGAGATCCCCTGTGTGGATGAAGGGGGCTCCCTTGGATCAAGTCTGGAGTGCCAGGAATCAGGGCTCTGTAGGTGGGGCAGTCCTATCCCCAGGTATGCTGAGCTGTCATTGGGTTTTAATGCCTTCATTTGGTAGTGCCGAACTGGTTTAAAGGAAGCCGTTTATCAGGTCCTTAGCTACTGGTGAAGGAACTGGCGCAGTTGATCAGTGGAGTGAGGATGTTTACATTCCCATTGGAAGTAAAACTCCGGAGGCTCAGTGTTGTGGCCTTCAGCCCAGTACCTACCTATGAGGGGTGTTCCCACCTGTGGCAAGAACAGATGTTTCATATCATCACTGGGGACTTGAGGGCATTAAAGCCTCCTCTGGCAGAGAGTGAAATGTCTGCCAGTGCAGTACTTTCCATTGTAGGTTTTGCACATCCAGCTGTTACATGGTGTTAATGGGAGGTTGTGATGGTATACAATGGAAGGCCTGGTACTGGACTCCCCTGGTCTGAGGAACACAGAGGAGCTCTCAGAGCTAGTCAGAGTGAAGGCACCTCTCAATCATATGATCAGCTTGTGGTGTGGTCGAGAACTCTGGAGTAAGGAAAAACCATTAGTGTTTCTCTGTGGGTGGGAATGAGGGAGAGAGGTGGAGGTTCACAGAGTGACCTGTGAACTTTCACCCCTCTGTATGGAAACTTGTTGCAGGGTCAGTCCTTGTAGCTGCCTTGTTGCCATGGTCACTCTCAGGCCCTTCTAATCACATCAGAGCACGGCCGCAGAGGCCTAGGTATGTACACCGACAACACCATTATATATATATATGTGGATTTGTATATATATAATTTTTAAGCGATGTTGTGCAGTTTTGCTCCTCTATAGCGAGTACAGGGCATTTGTCTATAGCTGAGTTACATATGCTATGTACAGCGCGTGAAGTGGGGTCCCCCTCTCAGCATTCCTCTTGTAATTAGTCTCTCCCACACCACTCTTTGGAGGGGTTGTAGACTGCTACTACTCTCCATCAACTTTCAAGCGTGAACTGAGACCTACCGATTGGACATGCATTGGCTGACATACTGTCACTGCTCCACTAGACTTTTCTATAGGATTGCACAGCAAAAAAAGACGATCTTAAAAGTGTCAGTTGTGTTAACTGTCCTCTGATCAAACCTTGATTTGAGATTTCTTCTATTTTTTGATTATGTAACTTCTATACAGAATACAGTGGCACCATTGTATAAAGAGAACTTTAAATCAACCTTGGAAATTAGTTTAGCATTCTTGACAGTGGTGGTCTAATGACTGGGCAGCAGAGAGAGGGGCCCAGCATTGAGTAAGGACTGCTGCTCAGTATAGACAAGCACCCTGGTTAATCCTGTAATTCAGAGGTATGACCAAGAATGAGATACATACTCTTTTTAACCCTCTGTTGCATGATCTTGTTTTATTTTTTACCTTACAAAGATGTCTTGGTTCGTCTTTGTTTATGCATGGCTGCGTGCAATAGAGAGTTAAATTCCAAGCAGTCAACGGTTGTCAAAAGATTTATATAGACCAGCGAGCCTGTTCAGTTCCTGAGTCCCTGAGACACCAGTACACACCTCCCATTGGGCTGCAGTTCTACCAAGAGCCTGTTGGACAACAGAGTTACGTTGTTGTGGCAGTAGGTATGGTGTGACGACTAGGTTGTGTTTTATCTGAGAACCTTAAGTCAGGTTTTATTGTATCATTGTTTTGTCATTTGCTGAGTGGACAGAATTTTGTGTCAGTGGGGTTTGTCATTTTTCAGTCCAAGGTTCCACATAAGAGTTTTTACTCTTCATTGAGTAAGCTGCAGGCAGGTGACTAGGCTGTTTAAAAATTCATAAGCCAAGTGCATCTTTCACATATAACAGCAAGCGGGATGCAGAAGTCAAGAAGTTGAAAGGAGCTTTCCTTGTATGAGGTGACGCTTTGACATGAACCTCTGTCCCTTGCTCTGAGGAGGTTTGAAATTAGCGAGTGGCCTGCAGAGATGTGCTGTTAACTTTCTTTCTGTTCCTTGTGTGCCCCTCTCTTTCTCTCTGTCTCTCTCCCACTGCCTTCCCCACTCCCCATTCTTCAGGACCAGTTCCTGCGAGCAGCACCAGTGGCAGGGGGCGTGGGGGAATTCCTGATGCGGAAGATGGGCTGGCGAGAAGGCGAGGGGCTGGGCAAGAACTGTGAGGGCACTGTGGAGCCCATTATAATCGACTTCAAGACAGACCGGAAGGGTGAGGAGTGCGAGAGACTGAGTCAGTGTTTATCTACAGCAAGATGGACGTTTTACTCTTGTGTACAGCTGTGAGAATGAGACAGACATTGAAAATACACAGTATGCATTGCACGGTGCACTTCACAGTTCACTGGAGTGAGTGATAGCAACACAAAAATGATATCAGTACTGTACGCTGCCTGGAGAATGATGCACTGTTCTGCACTTAAGCAACACCGGGGCTGCACTGAGTGTAACAGAACATAAGAATAATTCAGCCCATCTTGTCATTTGGTTAGCCAGGGTTTTCATTCTCCCGTTTGTTAAAAAGATCTCTTTCAACAATATGACTGGGCAGTTTGTTTCTCTCAACCCCCTTTGTGTTTAACAGTGCTTTTGGTTTTCAGCTTTATATGAACTAACACCCTCTTAGTTTACACTTATTTTCTCTTGTTCTTAATACTGAACTAGTTCTCAGCTAACTTGGTTACCTTTATAGTTACCTGATTATCTTTTGCAACTTTAAATGCTTGTCAGGTCACTTTGTAGTCTCTTGTGTTAGTCTCCAAGGAGAGAGCCTTGCACTGAGAGCAAAGAAGATACTGTACACTGTGCTGACTGATGGAAATACTGTTCACTGTGCTGAGAATTATGGAGAACCTGTGATTTACCCCCAGACAGTACCGTTCTCACAGTCCGTTTTGTCCCCAGGTTTGGTGGCCGTAGGAGAGAAGACTCAGAAGTCAGGCAGCCTGTCGGCGATGAAGGATCTTCTAGGTGAGTTACTCATCCAGACTTCCAGTCACTCAATCTTGCTGCCTGAATCCAGAAGGGCTGATCCTGGCAGGGATCTGGCTGAGGCCGTTTCACTCTACCCTCACTGTGACTGTGACTCATACAGATCCACCAGCTTTTCATTTTTAAGAATGTGTGCCTCTCTGAAAGACAGTGCAAAATACTCTGAATTTCTACAGATTTCTGAATAGTAAAACCGTACTTCTTGCTCTGTATCCTTAGCAGACATTGTTCATCAAGCTGAAGTTAAATGTCCTAACCCCTTAATCTTTGTTTCAGGGAAGCATCCAGTGTCTGCTCTCATGGAGATGTGTAACAAGAGGAAGTGGTCGCCCCCGGAGTTTGTCATGGTTCACAACAGTGGCCCAGACCACCGTAAAAACTTTCTTTTTAAGGTCAGGCTGCCCCTCTCTCCCCTTTTCTCTTTCCTCCCTTCTCCCTATTCCTCCTCCTTGTTTTCTTCATCCCTTTCTCTTGTTTCTCTTATTCCTTTACCATCTTTCTCTTTTAAATGTATGCTCAGCACCATCCTGAGGAGCTAGGAACTGCAGTGTTGGGAATAGATATCCTATGTCAACGTTTTAGTGATACCGCATTTTTGTGCTGCATATACTAAAGGTAGTATCTGAAAATACTATCTTCAGAAAAAGATCTAGGATGTTAACCAAATAACTGACCCAATCATCTAAATGATTTGGGTAAACATTTTAAAAGAGCAGTATAATGCTTGGATCTGTAGTTAAGAGTTCCTAATTTGATTCATAGGAAGAAATTGTAAAACCCTACAATGCAGTAGATATACTTAATTTGAAGTGTTATTTTTTCCTCGTAACACTATTAATGGACTTATTTAAGAAAAAGCAGATTACCCAAACAACAAGGTGGGGAAAATTGTCATCTTTACAACAGGAACAGGCCAATTAGGACATCTGCACAGTAGTCTAGTCAGTGCATTGTCCATTTCCTCATATTGGTGCAAAACTGACATTTCATCAAGTTTCAGATCAGTGAAGCACACATTCCTGCCCTGCCAACAGAAGACTTCAGCTGACATGAAGAAGGGGGACTTCCCTCCTGCTTGTGAACAGATGTAGGGTCCAGCAGAAGAGTAATGCTTTTTAAATTCAGAGAATTCTGAATGTATTATTTTTACTGTTCCCAGGTGGTGATCAATGGCAGAGAGTACCAGCCCCATACAGCCAGCCCTAACAAGAAGCATGCTAAGGCTATGGCAGCCACAGTGGCCCTGCAGGCAATGGGGGAGGTGTCTGGGGACAGCATGCCCACTGGCCCCGTGTTCACTGCTGCTACCAGCTGAAACTGGAACCAGGGTTAGGACTCATTCTAGTTTCTCTACTTCAGACCAGGTCCCAATGCCAATTCCTATTTCCTGTTCACGGAAGTGGTCATGGGAAGTGGTGGTAAGGGAGAAGGGAATTGTAATTGACTTAGACTAACACAGGAGCAGACCAGCACTCTGTTCCAGACTGACCAACTGACCGAAAATGGAAACCTCAAGAAGCGCATTAGTGCAGATAGACTCGGATTCCAGGACAGGAGGACAGACCGGCAGCTAAGAGAAGGTGTTCTAGTTGCTGTGCCTGGTGCCCATTTACACCATTTAAATCACGAAAATCAACTGTGTTGTGCAACAATTTTTTGTCAAATTTTTAATGATTCTCTCTTTTGGTTTTAAATGTTTTTGTGTTAGGTTTGGTTTTGTCACTTATGGAACATAGCTCAAATGGACTTCTTGTGTTGTTACGAACAAACAATTTCAGTCTCACAGGATGGTGTTTATAGAGTCTTGATTTCCGAATGACAGACTTTGAAATCTGATTCCAGATCTCAATGGCCCTGATAGTAAGAGCCTTTAAGTCCTTCCCCTGTCAGTAGGGATGTGTGGAGCAGCTACCCCAGTAACCTCATGTTCTTATTCCTACTGTATTCAGTGTTTTAAAACAATAAAATGTGGACTCATTTAGTAGTGGAACTCATTAATTTTCTCATTGTTATATAATTATTTCTTACAGTGGGGGAACTTTGTTTCAACTGTAAGACTGAATGAGAAGTGTGCAGCCGATCTGTGCCAAGACTAAGGCAGGGGCTTCCTTGAGCCAAAATGTTTCAACAAGATTGTACAGGAAAGGACGAAGTGTTGTGTGATTCATTTTACAGTTGTTTTACAGCAAAATTGTTAACTTTGAGCTTAAGTATTTGACAACACCACAAAGCACACAAAAAAGAAGGCCTTAAAGGTTAGATCGAGGGCCTATAACCTTGACCCCTGGAGGTCCAAATCTAGCATGCTATATATTTATATGATTAAATCATCAATTTTCAAAGACGTTGAACTATTCAGTTGTTAATCAGGAGGTTGTTCAGTAATATTTATGAACATTTGGAACAAAAAATAACATGACAGTACTGTATTGAAATGACAATAAGCAAGAGCATGGTCCATTCCTGTATATGACACAGCTGCTCTTATGTGCTAGCAAATAGTGAGAAAGTTCTTCACCTCTTTAATTAAAAAGGAATTTTGGGGAGGCATATTGTTCAACCCAAGCTAGTTTCATATCACATTTCCAGGAACAGTGTCATGATTATCAAGTAGTTGCATCGAAAAGATGAGATCTCTTAATGACTGCAACCACTATCACTATACTGAGTCAAACAATTGGAAATTCAGATCCAGAGAGCTTCTAAAACTGCCACCTACTGGTCTGCCAACACACAGACGGAAGCAACCTTGTTTTTCTTAGGTCTCCCAATTCCACAAGCGGCCAGGCTCAGCCTCTTCATTCCTGTCTTGAGCTCTCATGACTTAACTAGACATTAATACTATGGGTGGAGTGCTACTGTATTGGCATAGTTTGTATGTTGTCCCTTATTCACATAGGTTTCCTCCCATCCTCCAAAAACAGTCTATCCCATCGTGCACTTGTCACTTGTTGGAATAAGTTCTGGCTCCCCTCTGTCCCTTCACTGGATCAAGAAAAAATGTATTTTTTAGCTCCCATGTTGTTCATACCCTCATAGGTCTACTGTAGGGGTCCAGTCCTGGGGGGTGGGTGATACCTGCAATATTTCTAGGTTTCTTTAAATCAGCAGCACCTGAAGGGCTGGAAATGGTTAAAATGGTCCTATAAGCCCAATAATCAGCTGCTTGAGAATGTCAAAAGTCAGCTATAAACAAGAACTTTCAACATTCACACCTAACCTCCAGGACTGGACCCCTTGGCATATTGCATTTCAAGAAAATTGTTGTATTACAGAAATATTAATTCCTTGTGCCACAGGCAACAGTCTTCAATGGGTTAAGAAAGTTAAGACAAGTGAAGTGAATAAATAATTGAATTGAAGTCTAGTCCAAGGCAGAATAAAAACCTAAGACACGGCAGTCCTTCCAGAGTGGTTCTCGGGAGGCTGTTCAATTGTTTCACTTTTAAAAAAACAATGTAGTACAGCTGGATTAGCTGGACATTTTATTAATATTCAAAACAGTACAGACAAAAGGCAACAAATTCAAATATACCTATATATTCATAAGCCTTGATTATTACTAATCTTGGACAGTACCATAAATTAAATAAGACCAAGCACCATGATATCATTACTTAGTACAGATCATTCTTCAATTTTACAAACTGATACTTGACTTTGGACAGCTTAGTGAGGATCTTATTTCAATCAGCTGTCATCGTTATATTCATACACCTGTAAGTTCGTATGCATTTTTCTACAATCCTAACCTTCCTATGTCACTTTAAAAATAAATCCACATTGAATTGTAGTTTTAGAGTTTAGGTTTTCATTAACATCTTAAGTTTAAAATCTTGAAATTTACAAGTAACCTTAAATTCTCCACTCGTTAAGTTCATTTGAGTTAGCAAGACTTCAGATTCCTGAGAATACTGTTCTCCCAAGGAGCAGCTGGGACAACCCTGCACAGATGAGAATCTGTTGCAGGAGTCCAGCTATGCGCTTGCATTCCTGCCATCTGGATAATTTAACACCCCCTCCTGCTGGACAGCACTTACATCATCAAGGACTAACTGGGGGAAAGGTTTTCACTGAAATGAATTGAGGTCATTTCTCACATGTCATGAAAGGTTTTCCTGTAGATGGCTAGTGACGGGTAAATACCAGTTCTCCCCTGATTCCTTCAGCACAGCCACATTATTCATATATTCATTTGCATCCAATGTAACTGCCATCTAACAGGTTTGTACCGAAGACCAGCAACTGACCAGTAAGGACCAGTAATTAGCTGACCGTCATGTTTAGGCCGTTTAGGTTTCAGAAAGTCCATAATAGTTAGGACAGATTGCCATTACCCAGTTTATCATAGTGGAACCTCCACGTAATGCTACCTAGCAGTATCTCAACAGGAAAGATGAGAAGAGATTCCTCACATGTCCCAGAGCAAAAAGACTGACCCAGCCAGCCAGCCCCACAAGGGGTCAAAACATCAAAGAAGGGACAGAGTGGTAGCAGTAAATGGGATCAGAGAGAGAACGGTCTGTGGCACTATGCGTATGCTACAGGGTGAGTCTCAGGATTTCCACATGTAGCGATAGTCCTTCATCTGCAGCTGCCGGAGAGCGTTCTTGCCTAGCGTGGCAGGTCCCGTTAGCTGTTGCACAGTGTCAGGGTGCAGCCCGCAACCTTCCAGGCCCTGTGCCACACCATCCTGGAAGGGAGAAAGGAAATCAGCACCAGTGAGATACAGTCTCCTGTCATTCATTTTCACTAGGTTTAGCCCTATCTATCAATATCAACTTAAACAAACAATATTGTGAAATTTGTTTTTCAGCAGAGTAATAATGATGAATCAGTTATGCTATGAAATATATACATCAACTGGTTGCACCAATGTTGCCAAGAACCTGCCTTCCAAGCTAAGCACATTATAATTATAAGGCTGCCACAGGTACCTAAAACACAAACCAGTGCTCACAGAACAGCAGTAGCCCTGAACATGTGGACTCACCTGCATGGGCTCACCCAGGGGGCAAGGTGCAGTGTTGAGGACGGCAGTAGGTTCGTGAGTGTACAGTCCTGCCGAGAAAGAGCCCTGCTGGGTCTGACGTAACAGGAGGGTGAGTGCATGGAGAGCATGGGGCATCACCGGGCCTGTGATCTCCAAACTGTGCAGGTCCTGGAAGCCATTCCGCACCTGGGTCTTCACATTCACACTGCGTGCCTACACAGACAACAGCAAGGATGGGTATCGGAAGAGGATGGTGACTATGGATGGGCAGACTTGCAAAGTGACGGGCAGCATTCAGGAGAAAAATCAATGGGTAAAAGAAGTGTATGACATGAATAGAATGGATTGCTCAAGGAGCAGCTATAAGATCTGATGACCCAAAAAAAACAACTGAGGGTGACATTGAAGATAAGCAGGGAAGGGAGAATGGCTCACCTTAAGAGTGCGTAGGGTGGCCCCTCTGAAAGCAACAGGAGCCAAGAGGGTGGGAGGCAGACCAGCCTGTGGTCCCGCAACTGCAGTCAGACTCTTGCAATTGATGAGGAAATTGAGCAGGATGAAGGTGCTGGGTCCCTCCACCAGCACCACTGATTCAGGCTTGTGGTCCAGACGTGCCTCACTGTGCTCTTTTCGGCTGAAGCAGAAAGTCAGGGAACATAGCAGCACAGGTCCGAAACAGCACACAGTGCCACCTCAAGAATGTAATAGTCCATGTCTGCCTGGCCACAGCACTACAGGGAAATTGCACAGAAAGCAGATTCCTTTCTAACTTTAAACTTCGCTCCTAAAGCTATGAATGAGAACGGCATTTTCACTTCTGTCAGCACCGGAACATATGTTCTTTGGGAGGTTAAAAGGATTCAGACTCAGGCCTCCTGAGGTACGCCCTTCATTAAAATTTCTTTACTCAACTCAAAGGTAAAACCTTAAGCACTTTGATCCTTCCTCAATCTAGTGCTTCTTGTGGAACACTTACCTAAAGAGAAGTGCTCCACAAGAACACTCTGGCAGCAAAAGAGGAAAATTGAAAGAGTAAAACATAACTTTTTTTAGCATCCCTACAATGAGACAGTGATTGCACAGCTAAAGGATACAGCTTAATGAAGGCTGAATTAGGTTTCTTTATCTTATCCTGGACCCCCATCTCCTCCAGCCATGAGAATACTCCATCGTCATCTTCATCCACATCTTCTCCACTATCTTCAGGGGCCCTGCAACACCACCATCATATGACCTCATTCAGGAATCTTAAAACATTTTGCAACCCTCACAGATCTTTTTAAACAAAAAACATTAAAAACTGGGGCCTAGATATATACAGGTCAGTTCATGATAGAAAATGATCAAAAATAGATTTAACAAGCAGCATAAGTGAAGAAGTGGTTAGGACCAGGTGCTCTTGTACCCTGGAGAAAGGTACCTCACAAACATTGTTCCCATAAAATGGCCTGCTCTATAAATGGGCTTTAAATTATCATTGTAAATGAGAATATTCTCAATTGTCTCAAATCACATCAAAATATCACTCAGCACTACTAAGTTTCAAATATTAAATTAACAGATACACATGTAATAAGAAAGAGCTCTGAAGACAATTTTAGGAACTGAAATTACGAAGTACAAACATTTAAATGGACTTATACCTCTGGGGTAATTATTTGGGGTTTAGACAAAAGGGCTTAGTAAAAGCAGTACAGTGTCAACAGCCTCCAGGTCCCATGCTCACCCTGCACTGTGCTCTTCCTCTCCAGGCTCTGCTCCTGAACCATCAGGTTCTGGCTCAGCTTCCTGCCCAGTGGAACCAGGGCCCCTGCATTTTCTCTTCTCCTCCACCAGGGGCAGCATGAATTCTATCCCTGGGGGCAGATTCAAAACTGCAAGTCAGAGACCACACTGGTGTGCAGGTATGCAAGTGTGAAAAAGTTTAATAACTAAACTACTCCTCGCTGGCCCTTGAGACAGAAATCACATTTTTATAGGTCAATTTACTTACAAGACCCATGAACTAAGATTTCACATGGAACGAAGAATGGAATGCAGCAGCCTTGAAGAATGAAGCTGGCAAGACTGGCACACTTACCCTCGCTCCTCATGGCTTCACGGAGCCCGAGCGTGGTGGGGGACAGCAGCGCTGTGATGCTGCGTGTGCCGCTGAGCCCGGCTGCTCTGAACAGCACAGTGAATTGGTAACTGCACAGGTAGAAATAAGGACACAGCCGAGCCCGGAGCAGGCTGTACAAGGACGTGACGCTCACACACCTGAAATGGAGAACCAGATGAGAACCAGCCTTTGAATGCGTTCTACAAACATTGAGAAAATATGATCAGTCTGGCCGGGCGACAAGGCCACTTTTGTGTGTCAAGTCAGAAAATCATGTAATTTAAAAGGAAACAAAAAAGGACATTTTCATGAAATAGATTTAAAAAAAAACTTAGGTGGTTAGTTTGGCACTGGCCTTTTTGTTTAAGTCTTAGAGCTTTCCACTGCACAGCCTATCAAAGCTCCCAGCTCTCAAGGGCACAGAGATTTCCTATCAAGAAGGCATCTTTAACAGCAGCACTCTCTATCATTTAAGGCAGTGGTTCTCAAACTTTTTGGACCAAGTACCACCCCTAATCCAACCAAAGCATCCAAGTACCACCTACAAGTCATCATCTCATAGGAACCCCAGAAATTCTCAATGACCAA